GCAAAACTAAGATGCTAGCTCAAAAATACACTATTCCAGTCTAGTAACAGATCATTTATTTTGGCCCCTTGCAGTAATGCACTGTTCACAAATGTGAGGTGTGGGATTATTTTTTTTAAATGGTTCCACGACCAAGAGACAATGAAAAAAAGCCTGTTTTCTTGGTTAACATCTAAACAGAATTCAGCATTAAAGTGCTAACATGAAAGAAAGGGTTTACATAGTAGGTATGGGTACAGAAAATAATTCAATTATTTTAGAAATATTTCTAGGTCTTTAGAAGAAATTGTACCTTTTCAAGCTACAAATCCTCATGTTTTGATCAAATTTAACATACCAGAAAACACTGCCAGCTCCTTAGAAATGTCTTCCTCTCTATTCAGGTAAATTTGAGATGAATTGCTTCCACAAATCACTGCAGATAACATGATCCAGACAAGCGTTACCATTTTGGTGACTTTGTAGAACAAGTTAGCTTGTTTTGACTTTAACCTTTTATTTTACAGCAATTTTAACAGTCCCGTTAAAACAGCTGCAATATTTCTGCACTGAATCCTTTTTTCCAGCACTTAATTCATTTCAGTAAGACTCTGGTATTACAAACTCAAACTCAGTACTTCCCTCTGACGGATTTTGTTTGAACATCGTTTCGTTTCCCGGCGGAACGAAAATGTCATCCCAGCTAATTTGTTTGGCCGGAGAGTTAGGTGCTGCCCCTTCAGTGCCGTCCTTCCCTGAGCCAACGCGATAGACAATTCCCCCCTCGTTCATTCCCGGGATGCTGCTCGGGCGGTCACTAATGTAGGCGTACTGCCTGATCTGCAGGGACCTGCAGGGGTGCAGCCGGTAGAGCTTGGTGTCTCCGGAAGGGTCTTGGCTGTGAACCGATCTGATGTGGGAGACCGTAATTTGGTAGTTGATGAAAGTCTTGCCACACGTCAAGCACTGGTACCTTCGCTCCCCGGTGTGGTGGAGCTCGTGCTTGGTGCGATACTCTGCCAGAGCAAACACCTTGTCACAGTACCGGCACGGGTACTTCTTCTCCCAGGAATGGACGTTAAAATGTCTCCGTAAGCTCGTCAGACACGCGTAGGATCTCTTACACACGATACAGATGTAGTACACTCTGCCATCCACTATGAGCTCGTAATGGTCGTCGTGCTTTACTTTCATGCGTTTCCTGTTTGAAGATTCATCACCAGATGTTCTGGGCGTGTCCTCAGGCTTGGTTTCCCCCTCCCCGGAATCCCCCTTTACAGGGATGACTATGTCGTACGTGTCCTCACCGATGTTTGCATAAACCTTACAGCCTGTCGATAAGCCTCCTATTTCAGTTGCTGTATCTAATGTTATGATTTTCTGCCCATCTGCCACATTCTTTGATGCTATGCCCGAATTGAATTCCTTGTTGTTTCCGCTAAGGACATCTGAGATTTTTATTTTAAATTCTCCAGGTTTAGCAAATGACTCTTGTGGAAATGTAACAACCTGTTTTTTCTGTACGCCTGATCCCTCAGTGGTTGCTGCCTTGGGAACAGAAGACTGCTGAACCAAAGAGCTGCTGCTGACTGAACCAGGACTAGAAGAGCTAATGATATCGACATCATCTTCAACAACCTCTTCATCATCAACAGCAGTTGTTTCCACTTCAGTTAAAGAGCTCTTATTAGATGGCTGCTGGTTCTCCTCAAGTAAATTAATTGTAGGGGTCACATGTGTTTGATGCAAGGAGCTGGCACCAAGTGATGAGTTAAGCAGAGGCTTGTTTAGCACGATGATATTAGGGGTAAAATGCTGGGGAGTTGCTGAGACAAGCGGTTCAGCACCTGACTGTGTTTGGTTTGGGTTTAGCTGACTGGCAGACAAGGTGAGGTTTTGAGCTGCTGTGGTGTTTGTCAAACAGGGAGAGCCACCACCGCCACAGGTTTTTTGGTCAGAAGCTCCAGCTGGACTTGAGCAAGGCTGGTTCTGGCTTGCAGCATTTTTATCTTTAGTACATTCTTTTGGAGGAACAATCTCAGAACAAAAAATTACATCATCGTCCTCATCATCCGAGTCGCTCACTGTAATTTTTGTAGTCTCATATTCTATGCCATGTAAGGAGAATGACTGTGTTATAACTGGCATCCCATCCGTTGCCTCTTGACTCTCTGGCCTGATTAGAGGTACTTGTGTTTCAGCATCCCTTTGACTTGGACTAGAAGTTTCTGAAGCACCATCTTTGACCTCGCTTGGCACGTTTTTCTCTTCGGACGGAGCTATGCCCAGATCAGCTATGAATTTCACACCCAGCTGCTGCCCTGATTTGATCAGTTCATCAAGTAAATCGGATCGAACACTGATTATTTTCGAACTATAAATATAATTAAGAATTTCTGCAAAAATTTCTGCTCTCACAAAGCTCAGTTCAACCACCTGACCAGCCACTGAGAAAAGCTGGTGAAAATACGTGCTTGAGGCCGAAAGGATGTTTCTGTGGGCTCGAAACTTCCGGTCCTCCACGATGACTGTAACATCACAAAAAAGTCCATGGCCACGTTGTTCATTCAAAGACTGAAGAAGCACACTAGAATACTGCGTGTCTGTTGCAGAGATGAGTTTTTTCCCCTCCATTCCTACAAAAGGAAAGTAAAAAGTATCAAATTAGTAAAAATACAGACATACAGTTTTAACTGCGTGACAACATTCCCATATTTACTGTCTGTTCCTTCTGTGGAAGAAAACAAATCTGAGATACTGTTCATAAAGATATATGCTACAGCACTTGGCAAATTTGTTTCTTCTTATTTGTCCTTTCACCTTCTACATAAGGTAAGTGCAATTCTGAATATATCCTCTACTCTTACAAGGTGAGGAACAGAGAAACAACTCCTTATTTTATGCAACAGCAAATACAGTAAACTTTACAACCAAGCAGATGGAAGATTTGGGTCCCTCAAACAGCTTTAAACACTATTAGACGTTTCTTTCTGACTGTGAAAATATTCTATAAATTGTTATGAGAAATCCCAATAACATGAAGTTATTCATGGGCCAGACAGCAGTATCTGTATATCACCAGTCAACTGAGTTGATGAAAACGCTATGGATACCGCACTTCTTGCCTCAGAAAAATAAACTTTTTTTAACCCCTGGTCATACATTCGCAAGGCTATTTTGTATCTCAAACCGAGACACCGAGGCTGCACGGCAACAAAACAGACCTGCAAAGTCAAACTAACCCCTCTCCCGGCACTGCCCCCTTCACAGCCCCCAACAGGCTGAAAAAAAACAACATCAAAATATAGAACAGCGAAACTTTTATTTCCGCAGGCCGGGCCGGGCCGGATGAGCCGCCGAGGCCGGAGCCCCGCGGCCGCCGCACGTCCGGCCCCGCTCCCCCCGCGGGGCTTCACCGTGAGAACGACCCCCCCGAGCGCCGCCGCGGGCGGCCCAGCAGGACCGGCGGCTCCGGGAGCGGCCTGGCGGCGGCAGCCCAAACCCACGGACGGCCCCTCCGCCGCTCGGCCCTCGTCGAGCCGGGGAGAGCCCCCGGCGGGGCGGGAGCCGAGCCCCGCGCCGCCCCCGCGCCCCCGGTACCGCGTTACCTGCCCGCGCTCCGGCCGCGGCCCCGCCGC